ACTGCCGCCCTGAAGCCCAGCTTACTGGACTCATGTCGCTTGTCTTCAAGAAATATTAGTTATGGAATTCGAGGGAACTGGACATTTTTAAAGTGATTTTAGACAGCACAAGTTTATTTATAAAACACAATTCAATACAAAAACAATGCTTCACATGAAATAAACTATAAAGTAGAAGGAAAATAAAAGCATAATAATCAGTTAATAGCTTAACTTCAACAGTCGAAGGCACTTCCTAACAAACTAGTTTTTAACTTTTACTGGGGAAAATTTAGTGCATGACTTTACATTTTCATTCTTAGTAAATATATAAAGACAAGATAGATATTTTCTTTTCTTTTTTGTTGAAACAGCGTCTTATTTTTTCATAATTAAAATATTTCCAAAACAAACTCAGGCTTCCGGCAACTTTTTAGTCTTCTTGGAGTTTGCTCCCGATAAGAGGAGCATAGGGAAAAAATTATTGGAATTGACTGAAATCACATTAGCTTGGAAAGTTGGATACAGCTTAAATGATGTCTTCTGACATGTTGAACGTGTTTGCAGATTGCAGTGAGTAGCAAACTCTCCTCTAACTTATCATTAGTCACTGAAATCCTCACTGAGGGGTTTCTGTTTATGTGATAGCGAAAGAAACCCATCATTTTATTTTAAACCTTGCATTGCAAGCCTGATGTGTGTACCTGCATCTATACAGGCGTTATATTATAGCCTGCTGAGTGTTTGGCTAGAGTCGCTCTTGTTGCCTCATCGCATAGTTTCCATAGAAAATAAAAGGATAGGGGGCAACGTGGCCTTTAATCTGTGGAACAGCTTACAACTTTTAGGAAAGCATCTTTTCAGCTGGATCCGACTTTCCTATGTATGATTTTGGTCAATTCCAATAAAATCTTCAAACTCTTCATCCTTGCTGCCTTTTATATCTCGGACAGACTTTTTAAATATGTCATAAAGTTTCCTATTTTATAAACTAATAGTATTTCTTGGAGAAAAGTGACGTAGGATTGTGATTGGTAACTGCTGCGTCGTAATAGAGTCCTGTATGTTGGGGTTCAGGGTGGTGGGGATGACTGCCATCTGTCGTCTGTCTCTCCCTGTGTGTCGATTCCATTAGTGACTGAAATCGGTTTGATAATAAAAAAAATAAAAATAAAAAAAAGCCAAAAATAAGAAATAGTTTGATAAAATTTTAACCAAATTTAAGAACCATCACAACCATAGTGCTGTTTAGTAGCCTGGATAAAGTCCATTTACCAGAAAGCGAATTTCCTCTGTAGTCTTTTGTTTCCGCAGTGAACGCTGATCAATGAAAACATAATTTTTTTAACTGCTTCTGTGTCAGAAAAACCTTAGATACCACAATGTAGAAACCTTTAAAACTTTTTAAGTTAAAGTTATTTGTTTTCTACATATTTAACACCTGATGTGGAAATCACTTCAGATCTAAATCTGAACTGAGTTTGCTTGTAAGGTTCTCAGATAAAGCTGCCTCAAAGAATGTCATCAATCAGTTACTCATTTGATGCAGAAACTCCAGAACCCCACCTTTTCTCCAGAGTTTTCTTTTCTCTCTCAGCAGTAATCAAAGCCTTTTTCTCTGTGTTTTCGCAGCTGCAGCCTTGGGGAACCTGGTGTCAGATCTGGCAGGTCTTGGGTAAGCAGCTCTCTAACCTCCTCTAAGGACTCTCTTTAATTTAGAGGTAGATGCTTTAAATCTGATTAATTTAATACAGGTCGGAGCAGTGCAATAATAAAAATGAATAAGCTATATTTGTTTTTTTCTCTTGTGGAATGCTAATAGCTATTTTAAATTAAATTGTGTGGTTGCTCTAGACTTAATAGGATTCTATGTTTTCACTAAAGCAGAACTGTTTATTGGGATATTGAGTGTTTATTTTGCTTTTCTTCTCCTAAAAGAAATAGATATTCCCTTTATATTTAAAACTTCTTTGTAAATCTACACCATGTTTAGAGATGCTAAGGTTACCAAAATCATTAAGTCTTTAAGATAAGTGTTTAGAGTCACAGTTGTCCTTATTTTTGGACATAATTGGTAAAGCAGATGTAATACTTGATGTTCACATCTGTCATCATTTTGTCCCTAAGCTTTTAAATGCTTACACATGGTCAGTAATTCTGATTTATATTTTTTGGCCGCCAGAAATGGGATTTAGTTGAAGGTAGTCGCTGACTCTCATGGCTGGCATGTCTTTGCAGGCTTGCAGGTTACGTGGAGGCTCTGGCTTCCAGGCTGGGGATGCAGGTTCCTGATCTGACAGCCAAACAGGTGGACATGTGGCAGACCAGGCTCAGCTCTCATATGGTGAGATGACCAAAGGTTTTTTTTTTCTATCTCTCAGCAGAGAGGATTGTGGAAAAACCTGATGAGTATGGTTTGCATCAACCTCACAGCAACTAAAAAGCTTTTTTTTTTATATATATTCTTAAAAAAAAAAGAAGAAGAATGAAGTATAGGTCCGATAAACCTTAAACATTTTGCATTAAACAGGTGTAATGTTGTGGATTATAATCGAAATATTAATGTTCACTTTTGAAAAAGCTAAATATTCAACCCAACTTTGCAAAAAAAAAAAAGTTAGGAGAGAAAAAAAATCGACGACAAAGTAAAGAAAAAGCTGTAGAAAGATTGGAGTTTAGAGACCTGACAGACCGGCACCTTCCTAAAGTATTTAAAAGCTCCTTGCCAATTTATGCTCCATTTGTCAAAATATTTCAGCAGGTTTCTAATATTATCAGGTTTCACTGCCTTCATGCTTTTAATTTGTTTATAAAAGTGCAGTATTTGCCCTGGGTCGGAGCCACTATGGGTCAGTTATGAGTTCGCTTTCAAATTCATAGGAAAACTGCAAAAACACAGGGATGGTGAAGAAAATCTTAAACACATTTAAAAAAATCTGCAGAAGGTGGAGTTTAAGGTGACACATTGATGGAGAAGTAACATCATGTTTATCCGCTCCTTCTTTATTACTTGTCTTTATCGCTTACGGTGCGGCAAAAGGTATTTAATCATTGCACAAGTTCCGACATGAGAGGTCTGTCATTTTCATCATAGGTTCACTTCAAATATAAGAGACAAAAGTATAGAATAATGAATTTGTAAATAATGGTGGGAAACAAATGTAAATTTTAATGCTTGGTCCCATAACCTGTAATACTTTACCTGCTTTACAGACACTGTAGCTGGTAGTTTGGTCCACTCCTGTATCAGAGCTCCTCTAGATTAGTGATGTTTTCGGGCAGTCGCTCATCAATGTGAACTTTAAACTCATTTAAACTCCCTCTGGTGATTGGCATGGCCACTCCAGAATTTTATTTTTGAGATCATCATCTTGCTAGAAGACCCAGCGATGTTCTATCTTCATGCTCTCACTGATGGAGGGAGGTTTTGGCTTGAAATCTCACGATAAAAGGGCCTCAGTCATTCCTGCCTTAACACAGATCAGATCAGTCAATCGCATGATGTCTCCATCCGTGTGCTTTAGAGTATTTATGGTGTTCTTTGGATGCAGCTCAGCTCTTTGTTTCCTCCAAACTAATGAGTTGAGTTTGTGCCAAAATTTTTTATTTCAGTTTCATCTGTCATTATATTCTCCCAGTCCTCCTCTGGATCATCCATCTGCTCTCTAGCAGAGAGTAACGGAGGACAGTCTGGACATGTACTAGCCTAAGCAGCGGGAACCCAGTCCCTCTTAGAATAGTGGTACTGTTATTTGGTTCCATCCCTGCAGGTCTCTCTGTGTATTTCCATATTCTCTGCTCATTGATTATTTTTGCCCCACAGATGGAGGGAGGCTAAAAGTGGTCTTGTCTTCCATTTTCCTCCAACTGCTCCCACAGTTTATTTATTAACACCAACCTGCCTGCCATTGAAGAGTCAGTCTTCCCAGCCTGCTGCAGGTCTGCAGTTTTTTTCCCTGCTGTCCTTAAACAGCTCTTTGGTCTTGAATGGTGGAGTTTAGTTTGGTGTGTGAGGCTGTGGACAGGTGTCTTTTATGCAGATACCAAGTATAAAAAGGTGCCATTATTACCGCTAACCAGCAGAGGACAGAAGAGCATATTTTCCACTATAATTAACAATTGCATTCTTGCAATATAAAATCTTGCATTTTTTCTCTCAAATTTTCTCATAGTTAAAATGAACCTATGATTGCATAACCAGTGGCTGACTGAATGTTTTTGCCCCACTATGAGCTATACCAGAAGATTTCCGCTGCTCTTCCTCTTTTCGTCGTATTTGGGTGCACATCTGCAATCTCCATGACAACAGACCAAAACATGTGCAAAAGAATGCAGAAGACCGTCTGTGTTTTTAATGTTTCGGCTTGCTTATGTCAAATATTAAATAAAGAAAAACTGCTTCTGATCTCTAAGAGTCAATGGTGGCAGATAAAAGTTTCACTTTTATAAAAATAATGAAATTATGTTTTATATTAGCGAGGTTAACTGTCTTTTCAGGGCCACCTTTCTTCCGCTGAATTTCTAAGCTTCGGGTTTTAGTTTTAAATAAATAAGGGCCACGTTTTGGCTAAGCGCAGTCTTCCGCTATTTTACGCTATAACAAATCTTTTTTAACATTTTATTCTGTGCCAGGATGTATTTTTAACACATACTTCTGCTCTAAAAATGGGAAGGTTCCCTTTTTCAAGCTTCTCATCCACCAAGAATATTTTCAGGAATGTTTTATTATGCAAAGGCCTGTATGAAACAAAAATAATCTACTTTAACTTTTAACAGTTTTATGAAACCATTCCTTCATTACAATCTTGCCCAAAGTGCTTTTTTCTTTATCCATGTATGTCTGAATAGTCCTCATGAATTCTGAGCAGCCCCTCCATGTTGTAGCAAACAAGAGGCCAAAGCAGGCCTACAGTTTTAACCCGCCCCCTCCTTCACCTCTCCTCCCCAGCCCAGTAAACGACACACCCACTTTCTCTGATCGCGGAGCGGTGATGTGATGAAGAGCGTGGCTCTTTTAGCAGCTAATCTGCACAATATTTTTATATATTATTGAACGTCTGAATTGAGAAACTGTTTAAAGAGGCTTAAAACAGAAGTAGTGTGATGTGATGAAACCCCCACATGGGACGAGGTAGCAGTGATTAAAGTGTCTTTCTTCTGACATTTCATAACTAATGAATACTCTGTAGTTCCAAAGGCAATTTTTCATTATAAAAATACCCATATTTTTTTGAAAGGCTTTAAAATTCATGATTTAGGGCCTTCAAAGTATTTTTAATTGGGAAACTGCTTTGTGAGTCTGCACTAAATCTGCCTTTTTCTATCTGGTGGACTGCATCAGTCTGACAGTTATAGGTCCTTAGCGTATCTAAAAAGTGAGAAAATGTGTCTGGTTCTCTATGAAAAGTATTAGCATCAAGTTTCTAGTTATTCTAGCATGAAGTTATGAAATATAGACCTTAGAGTATTCTTTATTGACTGCAGCAATAAAAGCGACTATCTGTGTTAAATATTGCTGGAAAAAAATAAACTAAGGGAAGCCACTTTTGAGAGGTTTACCTAAAAAGTAAGAGACAGAAAGAAGCTACAACAAATCTGGATTTTTATGGGAGGAGAAAAAGCAGCATAGCATCCTGTTTAGTGTATCCAAAGAAATTAACTTCAGAAATATCAGCAGCAACCAGCAGTTGCTGCGCTAAAACTATGAATAACGCACCTGAGTTGCACTGCAATATAACTACATTTTAACAGTAGGAATGTCCCCATGATGCATGTTTTTAAGATAAACTTCCAGCCATTATATTCAGGTTGCTACGTTTTAGTAGAATGTTTATAAAGAACTGTGTGGCTACTCTGCTTCCTGTAGGGCAAAGCCATCGGCATCACCATCGGCTGCATTCTGGGAATGTTTCCGCTGCTTTTCCTGAGCGACGACGACGAAGATGACAAGCAGAAAGGGGCAAAAGCACATCCCAGCAGCGAAGCAGCATCACACTCCTCCTAACAATCGGCTCCATCCACCACAGCAAACCGGATTCGGTTTCATGTCAACATCACTAAAGAGTATTTCTTCAGGAGGATTCCCTGCTGTGCTACTCAGGCGGCTTCTCCCCTCCTGCTGAATTCAAACAAAGCAGCGTTACTAAATAATTCTTCTTTTGATATTTGGCATCTATTGATTCGGTTTGTCAGTTGTGCAGGTATCACGTTTATTTATATTCAGTAAAAATAAGTCTCCATCACGAGGTCTGGTTCCTCATTGATTCTTCTGTCAGCTCCTAAAAGACTGATTGCTGGCATTCAAAGAAACACTAAAACTCATTTTTAGTCCCTAAACTCTGCAAAGGCTGCTGCTTTCAAACATACTTTTAAAGAAACTAGTTAACCTTTGAAGAAAATTTATTTCTACTAGTTTGATCAACATACTATGCTATAGTATGTTTGTTTAACGTTGGGATTTAACAGTATCCACATATATGAGCTAAATATTAGCTTAGCAGCTACCAAACTGTCCTAAAACAATCATGTGTTCTAAATTTATAAGATAATTAGCTTTAAAATCGATTAGATAAAGGCTAACTCTGCAGTAATGACAGATGAGGGTCAAGCGTTATGTTTTTTTGACATCGATTCAGGGGGTGTTCTGGTTTTCTTTGCTGGGAATTAACAAAGAACTACATGTTTTCTATTGTTGGACTGTTGATAAGCAGTTTAGTTACCGATTTCTGCTTTGTTTCTGGTTCATGTTTTAAATCAGAAGTTGTCTGGGGGGGGTTAGCCTTTTATTTCTGGGGGACTCGGATGAGTCCTGCTGTAAAACAACACAATATTCTGCAATCATGACCAGTGAAGGTGGAAAATAAACGGGAAGTTTGACAGTAATCTTTGCTGTGCCTTCGATTTGACCTGGTATATGTTAGGGACTGGTCTGAAAGCTACTTATGCTATTTTAACCTTGAGTAAAAATACCACAGGATCAAGGTTAGACTCAACAGAAAAGGTATAGGTTCAATTCCCTTTGGGTAAGAACCGAAGAGAACGACTATTCTTATATGGTTATTATGATTCTGTTTCTAATTATGAATTTAATCATTATTTTGTGTTTGACACATCAGTTAAAGGAAGAACAAACCTTTAGTTGAGTTGAAACGCTTGTTGTGTGGAATAGTTTACATTTACAGTTAGACTGTATGCTACTTGAAGCTTGTTAACTACTTTAAAGCAGTCTAACCAACAGGATACATGAGTAGCACTACTTTAGTTGTACTTTTTGGCTTTTTCTCGCGTTTTCCTGCTAAATCACTCCAGCTATTGCAAACAAAACTCATCTGCTCACCGAATAAAGACGGCTGCATCTGCAGAGTGCTGGGGATTTACTGGCTTCAAATGACTTTTACTTCGATGCCTTAGCTGCACTTAGACTTTTTATTTATATTTCTCCTTTCTAGTTCCCAGAATCACTTTACTTTTCAATGTTTCCAGGTAGATCTATTCAGTGGACTGATTTTAAACTGATTAGAAGGCAGAGAATATTCAATTTCTCTGCATCAGTATATTTCACATACTTAGACTCTTTAAATAATCAAATGTTTAAGGCTAAAAAAGGACAGCGGCCTCCCATGGAAGCCACCTGAGTAGCTTTTAAAAGGGGAAGCACTCACCTGGAACCATGTCTTCCTCTTTCCAATTATTCCCCACATGAGGATCAACAGCCGGTCGCCCTATTTAACCAGAAACCAGGACTAATTGTCAGAAGGTTCTGACTGCAAGAAGAAAATACAAAACGATAAGTTTGCTTTGCTATCAATGCAATTAACTGGAAAGAAACATGTTTTGTCATGAGACACTTTCTACATAAAAAAAAAAATCTCCAACACTATTTATTCACAAAGGTGTTTCTTTCCTCCTAAGTCGGAGCACAAAATCTATAAAATGTCTTTTGCATCTAAAACCTTTGATCAAATAATAAAAATGGAACTATGGTGTTTGCTACCTCGAGGAATAATGTTTATGCATGAAGAACTGATGTAGCTGCATATTTTTTTAAAGTTTTATCTGTTTCTCAACTCTATAAGGAAGGACTTTGATGTTTTGTATGGCAAGATGCATCATTGGGAAACTGAAGATCTTTTTCTTTTGTCGTTTCAAGGTTTTTTATTTGCTTGTTTTCTGTTTTCTTAACTAGATACCCACAATCTGTGCAATTGAGTTCTTTAGAAGTAATCGGAGATGAAGCTCCACATGGTTGAGATTTCTCTCTCAAAAACATTTATTTAATGGAGAAAAAAAAGATATTTCTGCATCCCTGTCTTGTTTCCTTTTTCTTATACATGAACCAAATAGCAGGACTTATCATCTAAACTACACAGACTTTTCTTCCTCTTTTTTATTTTTCTGTTTAAATGATGGCTGCACCAGATATTTTACATCTATAACTTGTTAGAAATGGAGTTTTTCATTTTTCCAAACTAACTGCAGGTGGTTTCAGTAAATTAGGATATTGTTTAGGGCCTATTTATTTAGGTAATTTAGTTAAAAAGAAGTGAAATGTGTCTCATTAAATTAAAGTTAAATAAAGTTTAACTTCTGATTTTGGCATCCACCTGATGAGAACCCCAGTATTTTTTTGTTTTGTTTAATCATTTTAGTATTTAGAAATGCTAGTAAGGATAAAGAAGTATTTTAATGCAATAATGCTGTCCTACTGAGCATACCTATATGCTGGACATTTTATTTAATTAATCCTCACTACATTAATGCTCCATGTAGGCTGTAAACCTTTGGTCTACTGAGATCTTAAAGGAAAGATGTTTATTTTAATCATGGCTTTCTGGCTTGTTTCTATTGTGGGATTTCATGTCTTCCTATCTTTGGATCACTAGCTGATCAAATACATACAGTAGATCCTCTGTTACTTCAGCACGTTGCATGTTTTCCTTCCACTGAATTTTCCATCTATATCCCCAAAATACAGCACTTTGAATGACCACTTTATAATATATATATTTTTTTTTTTTTTTTGGCTACCCTCCTTGTGAAGCGAGTTTGTTTACCAGTATTGTTTCCCGTTCCCTGCCTAAAATATAACATTTCTGATTTAAGAATAAAAATAAATAAAATACAATTCTGCATTTAACATTCAAGTTGTCTAAAGAGCAAAAAATATGGGGTTTTCATTCAGGTGCGTGCAATACCCCCAAAACATTTTCAATGTTCTAAATTATTGAAATTAACCCGGAAGAAAAACAAGTTGGAAACTAAATGGAGAAACTTTTTTTTTTTGGTGAATAATGCTGTTAAAGAAACGACTTGTCTGATGTGTTGTAACATCAGACATATTGCTATATGGTGGAAAAACTGGTGGAAAATCGGTTTAAGCTTTTATGGATGTTTTTTGTCTTGTTTCAAGTGATGTAAACTTTAAACAAGCAACTAGCCTAGAGGAAGAGATAGTTAGACATTAAGCGATCAAATGTATTCTGACTTGATGACAAAGTTAAAAACTTTCATTGTAACAAGAACATCAATTATGTCTGCCTTAAAATTCAGATCATTTCTGCTGCAATGAGACATTGAAACATGTTATGTTTGGAAAAGTGAGTTGTTGTTTTTTTTTTTTTCTCTGTTAGTTTTGTTCAACTGCTAGTTTAAATTGTTACCTTATCTTGAAGTAGATCAGATAATCTTCTACCCTGCATCTTGGAAAGGTAAATTTTGCAAAGACCTTGAGGGTAAAGAGCACAAATCTGGTAACTTGGACATGAGAAAAATTAAAGGGCTAAAGCAAAAGTCACATTTATTTACTTAGTCTGGAAGCAGCTGCAGGAGATAAGACAAAGAGGGAGATGACTAAGTTTTTCCCTGCCTGCCTTGTCCGGAGGATTATTTGTTGTGAAGTAAAATTAGCAGTTTAACTTTTATTGCTAGGATTGTGTATTAAATGGTCATTTAAAACTAAAATAAGTATTGTGCAGTTTGTCAGCATGAGCAATCTGAAATCCCCGTTTGTATCGTTTTCATTAAGCTTGCTTACGATTTAAGAATTTAATCTAAACATATTTGTTTGATTCAGTTTGTTTTAAGGAATTATGAATTCCAAATAATCTTTTTACATGTCAAAGGAATGCAGTGTTGTGCTGCCACCTTGTGTTCAACATGGAACAGCAGCAGCTGAGCACTAAAACATATCTGTACAGTAAAAACTACTATCTACACAATGTTTTCTGCAGATTGGTGTGCAACATGAAGTTATATAATAAATATGAGAATGTTTACTTGTTGGTCTGTAAGTGTGCTGTGATTTTTCAGGTATTCTGGAAGTGCCTTTGAGCAAGGCTGAGACTATGAGAGACAGCTGCTGGGAAAAGCTTCCACTTAGGCTGTTTTAAAACTGAACATAATTAGACCGTTAAAAATAGGAATGCTTTAACTGAGTATTTTTATCAAGATCATTAATAACTGATTACATCCAAAGAAATTCATGTTTTATATTTTGTAAGATGTTTTTATGAAATCATAAATGTATAATCAGGGGGGAAAAGGCCATATTAGAATACAAAAACATGGAGACAGACCAGTCTGTGGCTCTGATGTGTTCAGAAAGCCTTGGTTGCTCTAATAGTGGCCTTCAGTTTCACCCCATGTTTGCCTCTGATTATTATTATTTTTTTTTTATTTTTCTCTTAATAAATTTCTTAACCTCTATAAGGGATTTAGGTCTGGGCAGTTCTATGAAGCACAGCTAGACCATAATCGTAACACCAGCATCTCCGTGAAACTAATAACCAGAGGGAAACAGGAGGTTGGCTTACTCGTTGGACAGCTTAAGCACTTGTTCTCTGGTTGATTTTTCTCCTCCCCTCATCTTCCAGACTGTGGCTCAATCCCAAACCGCCCCTAAACACTATGCCTCAACTATGGAGCATCACTCCTAATGCAGTGACTCTCACAGCTGTAGAGGGCACCTTGATTGTTAGGGGCGGGGGACATAAATGAGGATGGGGACAGCCTCTTTCCTTTAATGGAATAGGAAAACAGTGGTTGTTATGGCAACAAAGGGAGGCACCATATGCACGGATGTAGCTCTGTGATGCAGGTTGACATGATAGCAAATATTTGCCCCTTAAAAATAAAGTCAAAACTATTTAATAGAGGACCTTCCATTTTGGAATTAAAGGTACGTTGGAGGATTTTCGCTAGCTTTTGAGAAAGACCAGTACTCTCCACTTAAAGAAATTTTTTTTTAAAATGCACATGCACAATCGTGTACCTGCTGCAAAGACGGAAGGCCCTAAACGCGTGCGAGAGCATGCACAAACCCATTTCTCCTCATGCACTCTCTGTTTAAAAGTTGCTGCTTGCATCACTCATACAAGCTCACTTTCCAAAAGAAGATTTGCAATTTTTCCACTATGTCAGACTCTCCATCGGTCATTGAAAATGGAAACTAGCACGTAGGACTGCCTTATGTAAACATATCACCAGGATGATTGACAATTAGGAGGACCACTTATTTTGATGATCCACCGGGAAAAAGAACATCCACCACTATACCTTTAATGAGGTATTTGCTTTTTTTTTTCCTAACGTGATTTTCTCTCAGTGGGACGAATACGAAGCAAACCAGCAGAACTTACATTTGAATGCAGGCATTTCCTCTGCCAAAAGTTGGACGTTACACCTGCAGCCAAATTCCAGACGTATTTAAGGGCTGAACAGTCCACTCACCCTAAACACTATGTGGTTTGGGACGGCCCTTAATGTGGCAGACCCTCTGCGGGAACAAGCAAACAAAGGTTAAGTTCTTAGCGAAGGGTTAGGGATTTGATCTCTGACTTCTGATTAGTGAAAAGGAACAAAGTTTCATATCCTCCTCTTCACTGCACTCCTAAAACACCTCCAATGTTGTCTCTTGATCATGTTGACACATCCTGGAAGCAGTGTGTTTTGTTAGCTCCATCCAATGCATACATTTTTTTCCTTGCAGAAGTAGAGTTCGAGAGTTCACCTCTATTCCCGACACCTGTGTACTTTGTCCTTCCACTCAGCTTTTTATACATAATTGGATTCGAGCTGCAGCTTTAGTGATTTCTTCATTGTGGCCCACCTTCCATGTAGGAGGACATGATCAACTGTCTGCTGGATGGCCATTAGGTCTGCAGCCTGGGCTAAAACTTGATGATGGTCGGAGGCGGTGGCGCCACTGTACAGCAGCCTCGCTTCTGTCAGTGAGCCCCAGGGCAGCTGTGGCTACCTGCTTTGGATTTTAGCTTGCCACAATCAGTGTGTGAATGACTGCATGTACTGTAAAGCACGTTGGTCAAGTCTTCTGGCTTGCAAAAACGCTATATTGTTACAGGCCATTTACCATATTCTAAATGTCTGATCAATTTTGGGGTTTCCTTAGCTGTAAGCCAAACAAGAATGAGTTCAACTCCTGAGTTGGTAAAACCTGTAAGTCTCCTAAATTCGCTTCAACTCGTACAAAAAATTTTTTTAATTGTTTAAGGAATTACAAACGACACACAGCTTTATTCACTCTTTATTGTGTTAAAGGCCTGTGGGGAATATTCATCCAGGTTAACAGTAGAAAAATGTACATTCTTGTGGCAAATGAATGCAATGAACTAAAAAAAAAAAAAAAAACACTTAGAAATAAGTTAAAAGTTTTCAAAGATAAAAAAACAAAAAACATTTCAGCATAACACAAGTGTTTTAGAGTCAAATTTGGTACCTTTTAGTTTTAGGTGGGTTTGAAGTTTGTTTGCACATTAATTTCTATAACCAAGAAAAAAAATAGTTAAACTTCTGAAATCAGTCTTGAAATACTTCCTGGTTTACCAATTAAAACCTTTCGGTTAAGAACATACTTATCTGTTAATTTATACTGCTACCATTGAGTATTTAAATCAGTTTGATGTGAACAAAAGAAGCTACTGTAAACTAAAACTATCATGTGTCTTAGACAAGAATGTAATAAATAGGATCATTATCAAATACATTTTGTTTCTTATCGCTTCAGACTTTGCAAAACTAGTTTCCTAGATGCCATGTTTATGTTCCTATTGAAAGGTTACTGTTACTGTTTTTGCTGTTCTGATGGTTCTCCAGAAAAGCCCTAACCCACATAAAGCTGTAATAAAACCAAACATGGATTTAGTTATATACATAGCAAAAAATTTAAATCCAATTAAGTCAATTTTTCTTAAATTAGGTGCATTTTGTCTTGAATTTAGCAAGTAAGTGAGAGATTTTAACAATGGAACAAGACAATCTACATTTAAAATAAGAAAAAAAAATTGCATTCTCTTATTTCAAGTGAATAATATCTATTCATCTTATTTTAAGGATAAACATACTCATTCCATTGGTAGATCATCTTATTTACCTACTCAAATTAAGGGTAAATACATCTATTTTAGGAATTTTTTTACTCATTTTAAGATTGTTTTTGCAGGGTATGAAAAAAAAATCTGATTAAAAATAAACAGCTGCCACAATTATCGGTGGAGTGATTGCAAAGCTTCACAAAGGAGCACCTGAAGTAAGAAAAGCATAGAAAAACGAAGCTTTAGCATATACTGTAAAAAAAAAAAAAATTTGGTGTAAAAGGCCAAACATTAAAGGGTTTTAAGGAGACACAGAGAGAAATGGCATCTAAACACACCAAGAACAGGACAAAAGTGGTTGATCCCACTTTATCTTGAAATAACATTTCTGACTGAACACATTGAAGAGAGGTGTAGCTAATCAGGCAGAGTATTTCAACGCTACAACTGGATGTGAAGTCTTAAAAAGAATAATTGCCCACTGTTGGTCATCACAGGTTCAAACATTCAGCTTCATACGCTTGTTGTCGCATCAGCTACACAACAGTTTCTGTCAACCTGCAGTGGGAAACGGGACACGGCAGTCACAGGAAATATGACACGGCTGTGATTCATGAGGAACATTACAGGGTTGGAGCGGAAATGGAGTCCTTTAGAGTCAGACTACAAGGAGATGAGTTCTAGTGGAAAAGAGTGGACAGAAAAAAGCATGAATTACCATGCATGTTCAATATTTTTATAGCTTTTATATGCTGTGAAAGTACAGCTAGTAATTTAGAAATGTAAATACATATACAGTATATATATATGTTTAAAAGAATAAATTATTTTATTCTGTGAAGATACCACATTGATTTTTATTTTTTTTTGGCAGCACAGGGTGGTTTTTGTCTTGATTTACGTACGTGTCCATTTTGGTTATTTTACGTCTAATAAGCAGGAGGCAAACTGTTAGAGAGCGGAAAAATAGAACCAAAATGTGAGGTTGGTGGAAACTCAGGTGAGACAACAGGAAAGCCAATAAAGATGATCCATTAAAGATCATCCGCCATCGTCCAAACATGGGGCAGCCCTGGTAAAAATTAGCAAAAAGAAAAAGCCTTCTTATCGCCATACATACAGGCAAAATAAATTTTAAACTTTTATAATTATTGTTCAAATTGTACATATGCAGGCATGTTAATTAGCTAATTAGTTAATAGCTTTTTTTGTTCAAGATAGGCTAGAAAATTTATATATTTTCTTTCCTTTTTTAACAATTTTTTCTTCTTAAAGGTATAGTAGAGGATCTTCTTTTTCCGGGTGGATCATCAAAATAAGTGGTCCTCCTAATTGTCATTCTGGTGATTTGTTTACGTTACGTTCTCTGTTTTCAATTACCAGTGGAGAGTCTGACATAGTGGAAAAATTGCAAATCTTCTCTTTGAAAGTAAGCTTGTACTTGAGCGATGCAAACAGCAACTTTTAAAGGTACACTATGTAACCGGTGTTGATTTTCCAGCGAGGCTCCCCCCAGAGGGCGAAAGTAAAAGTGCACTGTCGTAAATATGCTGGTTTCTCCGTCAAGCCAGGCGCGGTTGTTTTGAGCTTAGCAGACAGGCGAACGCAACGAATCACCACGTCTACTGCGGTGACTATTTTGTTCCAATTTTCGAGTTTGAAAATTCAGCATGTTTTCATACATTATTTGTTATGCATGTGTCTAAATAACAAAGATTGTAGTTAGCCAAGTTCTCGCCGTAAAGCAAGATCGACTCTCGCGATGCACGAGACTTCTGAGCCTGTGGGTGCGGGCCGAGGGCTCCTGCAATTGCAAGTGCGGTATTTCCCCTACAGACCACCAGGGCGGCCGAGAAAACCTTTGTTCGACCTGAAATGACTCATTTAATCATCCAAAACGTTATGGAACACATTAATTAACTGAAAAATGTTGCATAGTATGCCTTTAAACAGAGCGTGCACGAGGAGAAATGGGCTCGTGCACGCTCTCGCACGTGTTTAATAGGTGTTTTTTTAAGTGGAGAGGGCGGGTCTTTTCAAAAATTCAAAGATCCTGCACTATACCTTTAATGTTATTATTTTTTTTTTTAAGTATGATTTTTCCAATTTACTTAAAATTTTTTTACCAGGGTTAAAGCAAAACTTAAATGACATTGTGTGAATGTGGGTAAAACTTTTGATGCGATTGTCCCCCAGATAATATAAACTAACTACGTCTCATATTCTGTGCAGTGCATTTAAACTTTACTGTAGCGCACTATAAAGTCTGACTTCATAATGTCTTAACTAAAATATTTTCCACTACCGTTTACACCAGTGCCAGGTAATATCAGCACAAAGTCTTCACCACAACAGATCAACACGTTTTACTCCAAGGACCAGAGAAAGGCAGGAACACGGACAGCGCAGCGGCAGCCTCTAGTAGTGCTAGGTGTGCTAACACATACAGTAACGTACATTGGCACGTGTAGGTTTAAAGGTCGTAGTAATTCATCACCAACTGTTGCAGCTTTTTTTTTTTTTTTCTTCAAACTGGTTTGAATTTTTCAAAGTGCTTCACATGAAACAGTTTGTTTAAAATAACAGTCAAACCTAGATTACAAAAAGAAATAACAGTACCTAAAGTTTTTTTTTTTTTATTTTCATTATACAGGCATGGATCGGTTTAAACAGTAAAGGAGATTTAGCTTAATGAACTGTAAGCCGCTGCTGGGATTTATTTCATTTTAAAGGCTAAACATGACTTAGAGTCGGCTAAACTGTGACAACATGCAGGGCAATCTAATCGTAGGGAGGATTACACACTGTGTGCTACCCTACATACACAAATACTTTCTGTCTCCAACACCTTCTATGACAGAAACATGTTTGTACATAGAAGTTATCTGTAGGTCATTTGGCACGTTAAGTTTAAACGGGTGACCATGAAGATGGGAAATTAACAAGTGACAAAACAAATCTTAATATTTACATACATATAATTAATCTGTCTTTAAATTTCTCCTTCCTCTATAATCATCCTTTCGTTCCGTTTAACTTCAGCCTTCTTCTCAAGCAGAATAACAATCCGATCCACTCACAGTCCACAAGTTAATCCAGTTTCTTCCTTTTATATCTTGAAATTGCCCTGAGGGAAAAATCTGGGATCAGTGGCCGCTGTAGTGATCCTCTGTAAGAGATTTCTCTGGTTAAATGCAACCCAGGCTCTGAAAGCGGAGCATCTACGCCTCCAATTTGATACTAAATCAACTTTACCTCATTTAGAATCGACTCTCAGGCCTTTTCGGTGCACAACAGTAAAAACAACAACTTTCTTTTGATTTTAAACCATAGTTTTCTTGTTTGTTGTTGTGATTAATTCTTTAAACTGTCAAACTTATCCTCAATCAGTCTCAGGACAACTTTAAACTATACTCACCAAAATAATTCACCAGAATTTTAACATTTAAGTAATTTATTACATACCGGTAAGTAATTCCCATTAACTTTTTGTGGGCTAATTTTAACACACATTTAACACATAAACCTTACCTGATGCATATGAATTAGTTTCACATCGCTAATTTATTTACGTATTTAGTATTCATAAAGTATACTTACTCAAAATGAATATTAATGAGTGTATTTATATGAAAAAACATCAAGTTTATTGTTTAAATTCCATAAAGGCAACCTGATTATTATGCATTTTAAGCAAATAAACATTATGTATTTGAATAAAATACACTCTGTATTCATTTTGATTTAATACTAAATACATAAAACTGATGATTATGAATGTCAAATCAGTAAGATTTAGTATTTAAATGAATGTAAGGTTTATTTAATATGTTTATGTTAAAATCATCTAGAAAAAAGTAAATAGGAACTTAATATGTAGTAAAATAACATAAATCTTGAAATTTGAGTGAAATATTCGAGTAATTTTGTATTTTGGCACCATTTCAGTTTTTTGTCCTTTCAAGCTGATTTTCTAAAAGGGTCAGAACTTGAAGTCCGGTTGGCTCTGGTGGTTCTTCAGTGAATTACTGGAGCTGATCGGTCATTGGACGTAGTTTTCTTCAGTTTGACGCCTCGTCGGATGGCCACCAGGTAGTCCTCCACCTCGCAGTACTCCGTCTCCTCCAGGAGTTCAGGGAGACGCCGGCGCTCCGACAGCCGACCGCCGGGCTGCGGTGGTGGAGTAGGAGGATCCGATCCTTCGTCCAGCTGCTGGTTACCCCAGGTGATGGACTTCGGTGACAGCGGCCCGTTGCTCCCAGGTGACAGAGGAGTGGTTGCGGGGCTCAGTGGGGTCCGTGGCGTTCGACCATCTTCAGCTTTGTTTGGGAAACCAGGGTGCTCAGGCACAGTGGGGGTTTTGACTGGTATCATAGGTGGCTTAATGGGAATGGGGCCCAGGTTTAGGCCCCCGGAGGGTCTGCGTAGGTTGGGTTTGGACGATGGAGTCCGTCGAATCGTAGCCACCCCCGGCGTGATGACGGCTGAGTGGTTATTAGATGGCAGACCGGCAGTGGAAGCTGGACGCTTGGACTGAAACATGCGGCGGTAGGAATGACTGATGTCACTGTTCCTCGGGATGGTCGAGGACTTATCGAAGTCCGAGTGATGCTCACCGTCCTGATCGCCGCCAACAGAGTAGTAGTCACAATCTGACACTGTGGAGAGCAAAGAAACGGGCAAAGTCAGTTTAAGAACCAACTTTCTTTATTTATTAATATCTTTATGATTAGTGGAAAATCAATTGCTAAGCTTTAAATATCCCATAAACATTCAAAAAAGTGTTAATTTGAAAGGAAAATATTTTTATATATTAAATTCTATTTAATAACCAGTGCAATATATATATATATCCAATGCACCTTTTCCTTCCTTTGGCACCTTATTCTTGTCTTTTTGACTATTTGAGCAGTAAATTTCTCAACTGTGAGATCAATACCGTCAATCAATCAAATAATTAAAAATTCAATATTTTCACTAAAAAATTATCCAAGAAGTCAAATGGTCATCTGCAATCCTCCTTTTTAGGGTGTTATTTCTCAATAAAATAAATTTTAACCTCATTTTAA